CTGAGGTACAACATATATAAATTACGCGTATAATCATAAACAAGCCGCGCGTATACTTCATTGATCGCTGCAATACTAGTACTGCGGTTTAATCACACGCTAGTAAATGTTTATTTCGATACCTAAATTGTTCATGGTCAAACATTTTTACTCCGGTTGAAAGTGTTTTACTATTTTATACTGTATCTTGCTATTTTTATAAATTACCGGCACATATGTACTGTACCTTTGCTTTCATGTGTATAATTTTATGTATTGTTCAGATATATATGTATAAAATGCAAAGTTTTAAAATAATGTTTATTAGTAAACTAACGAGTAAACTTCGAGTTACATAAATAAGCTATAATTCCAAAATTATGAAACACACGTTCTATGCTTTCTTTATCAATCATCGTGTTAGTAAATGTTCATTTTGATACATAAACTGCTTGTGATCGACAATTTTCACTCCAGTTGAAAAAGTTTCGATTTTCATGTTATTTTGCACAGTTTGTAACTTTTCTTCCGAAAATAAAGAAACCCAACCAAGATAGATTCTTGACTATAACACAATTAAAGTTAGAATAAAGCAAATACAATTTGCATTAAAATAACAAACCATACTTACACTAGCGCTGATACCAAATTCTAAAATAATGTCATCTTCAGACAAAACATCAATCACGCATGGTAAAATGTATTCAGCATCGCCATCTCTATCTTCAATATCCATATTATGTCGTATTTCTTCAGTTGACGTTTTCACCTATAAATCGATAATTATGTTTACCATACAGTACAAAGACCACATCAATAATGCTTATCGAATACGTACTACAATTGTTAATGTCGACTTCCCCCAATTATTGTCCAACAAAATGCTGAGTTTGTATTTATTCGGAGGTACTTGGAATATGGGTATTGTTACCTAAGATATAATTATTATAAGTTATTGTTTCACTACGTTATACAAAATGTTGAATAACTGTATTGATAATTAAACGCTTACTTTATTATCTGCATCAAGGCGTAAATATTCCCAATAACTGTTAAACAATGTGATATTAGCAATAGTATTACCGTAAATAGATAGTTAATAAAAGTTACTTACCTATCGCATCCATAGACATCTTCAACGTGACTTTCAAATGCAAAATGTGCTTTCAAATGACCTAAGAATAATAAGTATAGAGTAATTTAGTATGCACAATAACCGATAATATATAAACTATGCAATCAAGTGCAACCCTTACTTTTATGCATATAGTAAACTTTTTCAAAAAACGCCTTTATACGCTTGTGATTTTGCGGCGTATTATTGTACTTGTTATACCAAGTTACAGCAGTGTTGTACCATCTGGTGTAATCATCTTTTCCATACTGATAGATACACAAAAATTTCCATTGATCGATGTTATTTAATTTATAAATTGCTTTAGCGGGGTAACTATCCACAAGAATTTTAAACCAGTCCGCATCAAAGTGCTCAAGCTTGTTTACAAATTCATTAATAACCTTAAATGCATGTCTTTGTATAACATAGTAATTAATGTGCTGAATATCTTGTTCAGCCTTTTTCATATTTTGAAGACTTAGATGTGCTGTTAAGCTCAAATACCAAATATTATCATAAATATCGTGCACTTCAATTGCTGTCTCAATATCAAACAAAGCTTTTTCATAAATTTCCATTTTTAACTTAATTAATGCTCTATTATATAGAGCAGCATAATTTGTTGGATAAGCTTGTAATACCTGTGAGTATATGTTTAAAGCACTTTCCATGTTGTTACTTCCATATGCAAGTTTAGCCTTTTGAAGTAATTTGTTGATATTTGGTGCTGTTATTGTTTTCCAGATTGTATTCAAAGTAAACCCAGAATCATACCTTCTCCTTCTATTCTTTTTCTTTTGTTTTTTAAGATTATCATGCAAATTAAATAATTCTGTAACTTCATTGTTTTCAGCAGTTGAATCATTGTGAACATTTTCTGTAATATAATGCTGAATGTTATTGTAGATTGTCTGTTGTGGTAAATAATACACACTGTCCATTCTAATTTCACTTCTACAATAAGGACATTCTTGTTTTTCCAAAGATGAAAAAACTCTGAAACAAACTGAATGATGACAGTTTAGCTGATATAAAGCATCAACAGCTTCACAAATAATTGGGCATTTGAAATCTTCTGTAATGTAGTCAATTGGGCTCTTATCATCCCACTTTTCTTTACCTTTGCCTTTCCTATCTTGATCCCTTGTCTTTTTATTGTTTGGTGGGTATTTTACGTGTAATTTTGATTCTACTTCTAATTTTTCTTTCAAGTAACGGTAAATTTCCACCAATTTTGGTATATCTTCCTCATTACAATTACCAATATCAGCAGGCATCGCAACAAACAATTCCTTATTTTTAGCTTCAAGGCTCAATAAGACTTCAATTGACTTAAAGTGGATAAATTCAGTGACTGCATTATTGAGCGAGTCTAATGCTAAGTAGTAACAGATAGCTTGAGTAGTTCCAGAGAAAGTATTCTGGACAAGTTGTTGGACCAGATCTAAAATTCCAAACCAAAGTACATCACTAACTTCATGATTTTTGGCTGCCTTATCAGGATAACACAAACTGATATGATACCAGAGATATTCAAGAAACAGTCTCTCTTTAAAAGCTGTTGAGATGCCACAATCCTTTTCCTGGCTCCACTCATCAAGAGCCTTTTGTAGTTTAATAAGCCTTCTCCAAGTTGTATACCATGGTTTGCCTGATGATTCAACCTGGAATGCTTCTGCAAGATACGTCCATGCTCTTTCCAAGTCGAAATCACCAAGAGGAACTTCGATACTAGTCGCTACTTTGAGCCCGGTTTTAGCTAATGCAGAAGCAGAAACAAGTAAGGCTTTTAATACTGCAATAGCTCGATCTAAATTTGTCTGCTGGTAGTTTTTCTCGCCACAAATGCTATTTATCATATTCTTAATAATATTGAGGAGATATTTAATATCATAATTGTGTTTAAAGCTTGTGATATTTTCGCCCGGTTCATTAAATTCTGCACAATTAGCTTTCCAAACTTTCCTTCCATGCTGCATCATTTTATTGTTTGCCTTTTTGTATATAGAGGTGGCGTTTCTAATGTCATTAAGAAATTGACATGTAAATTCAAATTTGCGCTCACACATTAACTCCAGTATGATTATAATGGTTCGTAATTGCCACTCCAATTTAATAGCCGTCTCTTCTGAAAAAACGTTATCGACTTTTCGAGGATACAAACTGTCTATAGACAATGTTAATATTTCCTTTGATGCAAATTTTCCCTCATGCTCAAGAATACATTTGAGAGCGTGAATATTCTCCAGATATTGTATGTCCATTAACAACTTTTTTATTTGCGCATCTGCTTTGTGAGGGAAACTGTCTTGGTTTACGATGCTGTTCACCATTGATAGATAGTGAGTTTTGGTTTCTATAATATAAATGTAACAGTTAAAACTTTGTGGTAGAGCGAATTAATTTATGATAAAATGTTTTTGTTCTATACCATTGTAAAATAGTCACTTTGCTTACAGATATAGGCGCTTGACCAGTGTTTAGCTTGGCAGTATACAGTATTTCTATTGGTATTTGTGTATTGTGTGACATGAATGTTTTATAAACAGTGCCTTGGTAGGCCAGGTTATCATCAATTTGTATTTGCGTTACAAATGATTTGTTTATTTTGGAATGTACGAATAGTGAGTTTGTAAACGAATCAAAATGCTTCTCGAACTCTGGGATAAACTAATAAAAATTACGAAATTTAATTATGTGTAATTATTATGCTAGGACATTTATTATTGCAAACGAAACCGATTCTGTTAACAAAGACACAAGCAATCAATCAGTTGTACTAAAACATTATTAATATACATATAGTCATAATAAATAATCATATTGTAAATATCAACAGGCATTCCGCCTTTAAAATGTTTCGACCAATTTCAACTGACCAACGGGCAAATAGACGTGTTGTTAATAGGCAATTAGAAGTCCACGTCCAGACTGTCCTTATATAAAAAATTAGTACCATATTTGTCCAATCATAATACTACATACTTGTATATACACGTACATATCTCGTAGTATTGGTTGATACAGATGAAATCGTTACTTTATATGTTTCGTTTCGAGCTGATGTTGATAGTTTTGCTATTGAGTTTGAGTTTGTCAATCGTTCTGGTATAAGCATTGTCACATAATGATCTATAACGTGACTTGTACCTTTCGTATAACAGAGAAAAAATGCTGTTATTTATTGTAGGTGTTCTATGTATTATTGGACGTATTGTTATTCAGTCCTGTGACTGCACCATATATATATACGTATTTCATCATCTTGTTGGATGGCTGTGCCAACTGCGATGATAATGATGTTTGTAAAATACCGTGTGAAGTAATAGAACGCTTTTTTTAGGATCACAAAACATTGCTCGACCAATGAAATCGAGCATACGTAAATCAATAAGGGTATCGGCAAATAAGATTGTTAACATATTTACTTTGTTTATAGTGAATGGTACAGTATCATTTGGCGATGCGATGACGAGCATGAACTAGGAAATAAATATGTTGATAAGTACTCCTAAAGTGGTATCTATAAGTTATCCTTAAGCGACAAATGCAACTCGCACGGTTAGCGATTATCCGTAATTGCGTCGTGAGAAAGACAGTTCTGTGCTTTGCATTTGATTCGCCGATCGGCCTGGAGATTTAATTAGTAAGGTATGTGAAGGACAAGGTCTTAGTTAGAAAAGGAATGTGTTATGCATTACGATATTGTATTGTCATTCTGACAATATTGTTTATTTGATGACATATTCCATTTCACAATTTCCGATGCTGTGGGCTGATGATTGGGTCTTTGATTGGATAATAAATAGTATCAGATCGAAAAGACACCAATGCCCGAGGAAAAGATGCAAATAATATAGCGTCCCTCAAGTATACATTTCTACAAAAAAATATTGATCCCATGATGGCTGGGCAGATTCTTGAAACTATAAATGAAGTTGTCTCTGTGAGTCAAAGTATTGTTTAACATGTGAAAGACTTTTCATTCACTAACTACGACGGCGGATACGTGTATGAAACATTTACTTACAAAAGGAAGAATAAAGGAGAGGGAAATAAGGTTAAATAGACAAAACGTACTATCATTATACAATACGATATTAATACACAATATTATACGCGCGTTATTTATTATTGCATGCCGCCAATTCAAAATAAGTAATGGTCGACAAATCTATAAATAAACAACCAAAAATGGGAATCAGGAGATAAACTTTTGTTCTTATATAGAAGACGGGGGCTAATCAGCAAACTTAAAACCACTCTCCTCTTACCTCTTCCCTCCAAAAATGGATAGCATAATCGATTGTTCTTCAAGTCTTTCGTCTGATTACTGGAAACTTTATGAAAGTGAAGACGGTACAGATCTTTCAATACATGTGGGAAGAGAGCCAAAAAGCAAAGTATTTCCCGTTCATTCATTGGTATTACGGACAAGAAGCAAATATCTTAAGAATAGCTTGACCAGAAATACGGAAACGTCTAAAGGAATTCAAAAGACAACCCTAACGTTTGAAGATGTAATGCCTGAAGTTTTTGAAATCTTGCTTAGGTAAAAAAACTCTTGAAGTTTGGGAGATTTATCAATATGTTAATACTTATATACTATATAGGTTTATTTACACTGGGAAAGTGTCCTATGAGTTATGCAAGAATATAGACTGGATTAATCTTATAGAAGGAGCTGTCAAGTTTGAGCTGGATGAACTTATTACTGCGATCGAAGACCTTTTGATTACTACCAACGAAGAATGGATTTGGCAAAATATTCTCCCAGTTCAAAAGTATGCTCAATCTGCAGTCAAATTAAACAGACTTCTGGACTATTGCAATCAAACCATGGTTTTACATCCAGAGATCATCTTTAAATCGAACTGTCTTTTACAGTTACCAAAGAAAACTTTGATTGAACTTCTCCAGAATGAAGATCTTAATATGAAAGATGGTGATATTTGGATGTCAGTCATAGAATGGGCTATTGGCCAAGTTCCTGGACTTACAAACGACCCAAACAGTTGGACGCCGGACGAGGTTAATACTATCAAAGGCTTGGTGGCTGATTGCGTACCTCATGTAAGATTTGTCGACATTGACTGTGAGGACTTGATTGAGAGATTGGTTTTCTATGATGAATTGTTACCAACAAAGTTACGGCGTGATATATTTGTTCATCATTTGCGAAATAAAAACAACCCGGACAGCAAAAATCGACCGCGAAGAGGATACGAGGCAGTCAAGGTTGAGGAACAAGCGACGCCAGCTGCATCGGGTTTTTCAATTGTAAGCGGATCGACTTCTTTCGGATTCGGTGAGCAACGCCCAAAGACTACGTCTAAGAGCAAGCTTTTTTCAAACAATGATAGTGGAGGTTTTGGAGGTTTTGGTTTACAGAAAAGGAATGAAACAAACGCCTCGCTTTTTGGAAGCGCTAGCCAGAACGCTTCGGATTCTACTGATAGATCGAAAGCTAAAGCTTTTGGTTTTGGAAGTTCCAATCCTGTTGAGGAAAAAAATGTTCCAGGTCTGGGAGGGGGTTTTTTTGGTAGGTCAAGCTTTGGAAGCGCTAGTCTGAACGCGTCGGATTCTACTAATGGAAAGAAGGCTAACACCTTTGGCGGTGCGTTTTCTGGTGGAAGTGGCTTTTTTTCCGCAACAAAGTAAATAGAACCTCGGAAGTGACATTACGGAAAAGTCGTTGATACACTTATGATTTCGTTTAAGTTCCTGTATCTTAAGAATTGTTTGCGCTATGATACAAAATTGCAAGAGTATTTCTTGTGATTGTTTCGGCTTAGTGAGAAAATAGCGATTATACTTTAGATAAAGTTTGTTTCAAAAGAAAAAGCATACAAATAAAAGTTGTCTAGTCTCTTTGAAATCTCAAAAATTACGACAAGGTTTTTATGCATTTTCTCGTTGAGGATTTTACAGACTTCAAAGGCATTGCTACAAAAACACCTTGGTACAGCACAACACATTACCGCATAGTATTACATAGTTGTCACATCAATTGTTCTTCTCAAATCATGTGACTTATATTTCAAATCTCCATCTACGGAATCACTTCAACTAAGTTGCAGTGCTTGCCTGTTATCAGTAATATATCAACGTTTGTACATTTAAAATATGTATAAACCACAAAGATTGGCAAGATAGTCCCCCAAAATTTACTATCTACCAATGAGAGATGATATCGAGCGACAACTCAACTTTAAACTGTTGTAGTGAATTGGTTTACTAACGTACTTGAGGTAAAAACTACCAAGATACATAGAGAATAACCGCTGACATATGCCTATGTATGCTAAAATCCTTTTTGCGTAACTAGACCATTATCCCTTGTCGAAGCGCTCTTTTCTTGCGACGCTGATAATAAGTGAGCCTAAACGCTACTATTCTGTTTAGGATAATTAATAACCGTGTGTCAAGACCTGACAACTTGTTTAATCCAGTAGGGAAAAAACAAATCAGAGAAATGATTTAAGCAAGTAACCGCTTACAATTCAGCACGAGTTTTAACATTATCAAAATACAGTAATCACTGGTATCCGAACGACGAAAGTAATTAATATTGTTTGGCTTACCAGAGTCAAGAGCACGGCATGAGTCTGTAATCAAATTTGAAGCAAATATCAGCATTCCGAATATGCTTTCACAAATTCGTACCAAGCTTAGGAAGTTTGAAAAGGCTGGGCTGTAAATGCGGAGTTGATCTGACCGCCTGGTAACAACAACAGAACTACAGAATTTCGAAGAGGTGTTTTATTTTGATCGTTGATAACACAAATTTGGAGAGCATCTGAATATTTTCATCCCGGGCGAGTCCATTTAAAGCAGTTTGCAGTTTTCTTACATCACCGTATATAAACGATATGACTTGTAGTTAATCTATATTAGTTAGGCGGTATTGCCGGTGGTGAAAACGGTATTGCCGGTGGTGAAAATGCGATTTGCCCATAAAAATACTAACGTCATACTCAAATATGGCAAACTTGCCAAATAATACTATTAACATTTTATGGATGTTATAAAACTGTTTTTGCTCATTCTTTTACGTGCACTTTTTAACCTATCAATGTAAGTAATTATATGCTACTCATATCTGTTTAGCCAATTAACAACAAAGCTTCCCATATTCCAATGCCTTTTCAATTTCCGGTCGAATAATGTGTACAAAATTTTATGTTGAATGAGAAGCTGTAAACAGTTATCTTAATTGACTCGAATCGTTGTTACAACATCGTTACGTCATGAATACATGGGTAAGGAAGAAAGACATTCATCCAAAATAGCTTGTCAAAGCCTGAGCTTGTAAGCTCACTATAAACCAAACCGCTTGTAGCCGCATTCTACGAGATCACTCCCTATGAAAAAAGAATAAGCCATTAACAGATTTTCATCCTGGATGTTTACATTTAAAAAATCCAATCTCTTATTTCAATGCCATGTTTGTCCATTGGGACCGTTCCGTTAGCTATGCGTGCCATCAAGTTGCGGTTATTTGTTCCAAATACTGGACACAAAAGGCTATCGGAAATTTTTAAATCGCAAAGCAACTTCTCCGATTGATTTGCAAAGTGGATAATTACGTGATCGAAATGGTTGGATTATCATAAATTTTGCTCGTTTTACTCATAGCTGCTTGCAACAAATTATAGTTTAACAAAAAATATTGATGTTTATTTACGACTACTCCCTAACAAGTTCCTTCGCAATATCCTGATATTAACAGAGGCGAACCCTTTCATAGTTTATAACCAGTTATTTATCAATGCTTTTAATAAATATAAGTCAGGAGTATTTCATCAAATAGAAAGTTTGTTAGCAATTTAACATTATACCTTTGCAAAAGAAAGTATAATCCAAATTTTAAGTAATGAGTATAAAAAAATATTAATACTACAATAAAACAAACTTGGCGTATACAACACTACATAATATAATAAATAACCGTCTGCATTTAAATTCGCGTTTGTCTATATCTATTAATACTGTATGGACATGTTGATAAACTGATCGGCTGATAGTGCCTTTGTTTCTATCGCATTATTTTGAATACAGCATAATCGTTTGCGGAGAAGATAGAATTTTTAAATATGTTGTCCTATGTTTTTGATGCATGGTTGGTATTATTTGAGACGCCGGCAACACTATTGTAACAACTTATTTTTTTGCCGAGTTAGTTATTGGATGTAGACAAATAAAAAATGCATACAAAAAACAGGGATTCAGAATAATTTTATTATACTATCTAAAAGATGTAAAATTGAATAGTAATTACGCGTATAATAATAATTTCCCAAAACTATGATACTAGATTTAACATACTCTTGTAAATGTTTATTTTGATACCTAAATTGTTTATGTGTAGACTAGATATAGGTAAGCATAAAGCAAGTTTCAAAATGTTATATGTTACGCGTATAATAATAAACATGCTGTACGCATACTTTATTGATTACCGTGATACCAGTACTGTGGTTCATACTTTAGTAAATGTTTATTTCGATACCTAAATTGGCTATGGTTAATTATTTTTACTCCGGTTGAAAGCGTTTTAATCTCAAAGTTATTTTGCATAGTTTGTAACTTTTCTTCCGAATATAAACAAACCCAATAAAGATGGTACTGTAATACAGTTAAAGTTAGAATAAAGCGAACATATATTTACATAAGCCAATGAATAAATAAACCATACTTACATATGCATATAGACTATTTATATTACTATTAATATCAAATTCTAAAATAATGTCATCTTCGGTCAAAATATTAACCAGACGTGGTAAAATGTATTCAAAATAATCAACATCGCCGTCTCTATCATCAATATCTATCTTATATTGTATTTCTTCAGTTGACGTCTTTATCTACAAAAATCAATGTTTATATTACCATACAGTACAATAAGGACTGAATCAATAATACTTGTCGAATACGTACTACAATCGTTATTGTAGACTTCCAATTACTCAACAACAAAATGCTGAGTTTGTATTTATTTGGAGGTACTTGGAATATGGGTATTGTTACCTAATATATAATTATTTATTAGTTAAATATTCACAACATTATACAAACCATTAGACTACTATTGACAACAAACCACTTACTTTATTAGAGTTAAGGCGTAAATAATAACGATCGCTATTAAACAATTGGTGTTAGTAATAATAATATTATAAATATAAATGAATAGTTAGTAAAGTTACTTACTCCGACGTAACATAAACATTATTGATATTTTCAATATGACTTTCATATGCAAAATGTGCTTTCAGGTGACCTAATAATAATAATAAATATAAAGTAATTTAGTATGCATAATGATATATAAATTTATGCAATCAAGTGTAACCCCTTACTTTTGTGCATATAGTATACTTTCTCATAAAACGCCTTTGTATTCTCATAATTACGTGGAGCATTGTTGTACTTCTCATGCCAAGTTACAGCAGCATTGTACCATCTGGTGTAATCATCTCTTCCATACTGATAGTTACACAGTGATTTCCATTGATCAATGTCATTTAAATCACGCATTGCTTTAGCAGGGTAACTATCCACAAGGAGTGTAAACCATTTCACATCAAAGTGCTCAAGTTTGTTTACAAATTCATAAATTACATCAAATGTAGTTTCTTGTATAGTATATTCATAATAAAAAATATTAATATTCTTAATATCTTGTTCAGCCTTTTTCATATTTTGCAGATTGACATACGTTTTTAAGCTCTGGTACCAAGTATTATCATAAACATTGTTTACTTCAATTGCTGTCTCAATATCAAACAGAGCTTTTTGAAAATTCCCCAGATTGAGCTTGATAAATGCTCTATTATATAGAGCTATATAGTTTGTGGGATAAGCTTGTAATATCTGTGAGTATATGTTTAAAGCATCTTCTAATTTACTGTTTGCATATGCAAGTTTAGCCTTTTGAAGCAATTTGTTTACATTTGGTGTTGTTATTGTCTTCCAGATTGAGTTCAAAGTAAAACCAGAATCATACTTTCTCCCTCTGCTCTTTTTCTTTTGCTTTTTAAGATTATCATGCCAATCAAAT